GCATCATTTCAACTTGCCAACGACCTGAAGTCATCCCATTTGCAATCAGAGACATGTGCCAGACCCAAAAAGATTCAAACCTAGACTCCCTGTCCAGGCACTTGGTTACAGGGTTTGGGTCAAACAAAAGCTAGGACAGGTATATAAATATTCACCCAGATCTCAAAAACTCAAAGATGACAGAATCTGCGTGGCTGAGGCAATGGTTTGGGTCCGTTTGTGTTTTGACAATGCCTGGCATGTTGCTTTCTAGACAAAGGCAAAGCTCCTCCTGTGAACTGTGGTTGCAACCAGGTTACTGTCATATAGATAACATACGCGCTCTTCGAAAAGAAAGGAAGAATGAAAAGAGAGTAGTTTTGGCATGAGATATTTCAAACAAGATTGTACAACACAAATTCAGCTGTATTCAAAGAAGGAAAAAAAAAAAAAAAGAAAGTGTTCATATCCAGTCTTCCCTGTAGCCTGGTTGGCCATTTATTTTGTTCAAAACAAACTTTCTGTACAGCTTCCCCACTTTCCCCTCCAAACTTCTAAGCACACACGCGCGCGCACACGCATCCGCCCCAATCGGAAAAATCAAATAAACACAGAAAACATTGAGAAGTGCCTCTTTCGCATTTTTTTCCTGGAGAACCTTTTTGTTTTAGAAACTGTGGGATGTACTAAAGTGTTTGACAGCATTTCAAACCAGAGGCATTTAATGCCTCATGATCTGTATAATGAAAATAGAAAAGGGGGGGGGTAAGAAAGGAAAATTGTGGGGGGAAAAAAGGCAGGTTTTGAAAAATATTCCCTAACAATGCTACAAAAGAATCCTGACATTAAATACAGACAAACTGTATTGAATAAAAATTGCACTAGTCCTCTGGGCACATCAATAATAAATTAAATACTTAACAATTTCACTGATTAAAAAAGACAGCACAAAATCCATAACAAAAGAACATAAAACCCCCCAATACTGTATATGTAGGAAAAGTGCACAAAGTTGCTTTATACATTGAATCTAAATAAAGTACCAATACATGTTAAATAGATAAATTGTCTTGCAAGACACCGCTTTTTGCATCAGTATTTACATACGCTTTAACTTCATGTACTTCAGCAGTGAGTCTGAGCGTCAATGGACCTAGCTGTACGTGATTTTCGTGTTGTTCTCATGAGCCACTGATGCTGACTGTGAAATAAAATGACCCGAAGTGGAAGCCATGTCTCCAGTTCCCACTGGCTTACAGAAAGGATCAGTCCTATTTCTAACTTCTCATAAAAAGCTGGAAAACCAATTGGGGTGTTTTAAGTTGCTGTACATGTAAAAAACATTGCTAGACAATGATCATGCTGAAATTCATTAACAGAGTAGGACCATGGCAGTGGCGAAACACCTATTTCACTTTCAAGATCTTTGAAGTACCCTGAAAGATGCCAGCTTTGATTCAGTGTGGCCTTTTTCTAGAAAAGGGCACAACTTGAGGGGACATCAGCACTGACAAATGTCTGAATTGATGCAGATCGGTATAAAATGGGATAGGATTATCAAAGAGAATTCCTTACAGGGAATCTCTCAGTTCCTAACCCAGGAAGCAGAGCGAGTTCTTGGCTGGATATGGGTTCCCCTACTGAGCACCCTAAGCGCTGATCGGATGCCACGGGGCGATCTGCGCGATCGAACCACAAGCACGGCACAGCCCTGCTGAAGGCAGACACAGGCTCGAGGGCTTTGCTGTATTGCTAGCAGGCTCAGCACCACAACTCCTTGCGCTGGACACCACCATCCAACGCCACCTGAGCTCCGCACAGAGCAGCGAGGTCTGCAGGGCATTTCACATGATTTGCCAGACCACAGATTTGCTCCTGACCCCACTGAGATGGATAGTAACACTACCACCAGTTGCAGAGTAAGCGGGCTCAGCTGCCAAGGAAGGGGTGTCAAATGGGGCAGGGACACAGGAGTGAAGGCACCACCCTGCTCAGCGGGGAAGCCCATTTAAATTTAGGGTGACACAGTTCAATGCAAAGGACTGAAAGATGAAGCTCCATGGGAATGTAAAGTGGTAACCTCCTGTAATCCTGCACAAGACGTGCTGCGTGGGCAGCGATGCTGGCTATACCTTCCCACGGGCATCAGGAAGAAAGGTATTTAACCCCGGGCATATTAAATGCAAACTGAAGACGACCCATGTAGCAGCACTGCAGCAACAGCTATGCACAGTGCACATCTGCCTACATTTGGTATCTCTTACACCGGTGTATGCCTGGAGTCAGCCCTCTTCGTTCCGTGATGTGACTCCAGAGTCCCACGTGGGAGCTACAGTCAGAACATGGTCCCTGCTCACAAAGAAATTGTCCTCTGAACTAAGGATTTATACATGCTGGCATTCCTCTGAAACTGTGCTGCAGCAAGGACTGCGTTTTATGTCACACTGCTTCATCCCACATGCAGTCCTGAATCGCTCCTGAGGGTGCCACAGCTGAACAGAATGGGAACACAGACCAAGTGATCTGCCCTCTGCAATCTGTTAAGGGCACGTCCCACAGCTTCTACTCAGAGAAATGTTCAGAGGGAGTATCGCCTGGCCAAAGACTACAGGATAGTTCCCGAGCAGGCACTGAACAGCTAAGAAGGGAGAATGCAAGTCTGCATGGTGCACTCCCCCTCCGACCCATCAGCATGCCGTGAACTGGCAGGTTCACGCAGGCCAGGAGTTACCTAGCCCGGGTTCAGCAGCAGCATGCTGCGTGCAGAGCACTGGCCTCCTGGGACAGAAAGAGTGGAGAGATGCAGAAAACGCCAGGAGAGGCATTGCCAACGATAAAAAGGCTGATGGGGCCAAGCTCATTGATTTTTATTTTCCAAGACTGACGGAAGGAGATTGTTTAGGGAAGCACGAAAGGCCCTGGGGCCAGATTCTGCACAGCCATTGATCTGCAGCAGTTTCAGCACAGTCACTAGGACCGTTTCAGATTCACAACAGACAGCTGGGACTGAGATCAGAACTCAGCACTTGGCACTGTGCATCCCAAAGCTCCAAAGGGAACAAGAACGAGAAAGCTAGAAGACGATGATGGACGTCAATACCCAGATTGCACAGACAGAAAACTGTGGTCTGGCTGCAGCAAAACACGGGACAGCACTTTCCTAAGGAAGCAGGGACTCTCCCTTGAACTGGGAGGACACCCTGCTAGAGTCTAAGTGGAGTTTCTTTGTTGTTCCACTTTTAGATGCGTGGGTGGACCCTGAGTGCTGCTGGTTTAGTCTCTGAGGGCAGTATCTTGAGTGAAGAGCTGGATCACTGTTGCTGCAGTGTCTGAGGACACAATTACATCAATAGAAACAAACCTGCAAAGGTTTAATCCACTAAGGGCTGCAGCACGACAGCAGCCAGTATACAAAAAAAGAAGTCAAACATATTGGATGAAAAATAGTATGATTGCGTATCACTGCTGATGTAATGCAGGAGGATGGGGAACTCTGCCTGGTATTCTTGTGTTCCTCGCGAGATCTTGATCCCCTCAAGACCCCAACACTATCCGTAAGGCACTACGGCCCAACCCCAGCGCCAGCAGCCTGGGTGCCCAGGCAGGCTAAATACCCGTTGGGGACAGCCTGGAAAACCCACGAGTCCTGGAAAACTCCGATGTCGGTTGCAGTTGAGGGCATTCTGAAGAGGCTCTTACAGGAGCACATCTCAGCTTGGCATCCAAATTCCCAGCCAGAGGGTAACCTGCCAGTGGCATGCGTGCTCTGTAAGCCCTCCTGAGACAGGATTATGTGGCTGCAGCACCTCTGCAGAGCTATTGTAGCATGATCTCCATAACAGAGTCCACAAACACAGCAACAAAGTGCTCTAAGTTGAAACACATTCCCCCACTCCAGCAAAGAATAATACAAGAAAAAGGAAAGAAACAAAAAGAAGATTCTGCCGGTCATTGGAATCGGGGAACTCAAAAGCCCCCAGGCCAGCTGCTGAGATGCCCTACTCACATGCTTCAGCATGCGGGGGGAGAGCACAGAGGGGTACACATGCAAGTAGAAGTCTCCTTCACAGAGATGCTAAGTCAGAAATCTGAAGTGACCAGGAAACAAACTGAACCAAAGTCAAATTGCATCGTGCAGCCAGCCATGTAGGCAGTGGGAGTTGGACGTGGCTTTTCTTCCCTGACACAAAGCCCATCGCCAGCGACAAGCTTCTCCCAGCCTCAAAAAATTAGCACTGCTGCTTCCATAACACTGTGCAGATTGCATCTTGGCCCAGGAAGCAGGCGAGCTATGGCTTTGACCAGCTAACCACCAAGGGCAAAAAAAGGGGAGCGTGGCTGGTATAGTCCTGAGAGCAATTAAGGTGAGTAGCCATCACTCTCAATCCTACCCCTTCTGTTGTCCTTCTGGAGCAAAATATCTCTGCCCCACAAAACAGCCTGCTCCTGACTTAGAGGTCATCTCTTAGTTTTCTAAACTGGCCCCAGCAGCTCCCAGACACTGCAGCAGTCCCACAAGAGAGCAGGCTGCTCGTCACGCTGCCAGGAGAGAGGGCTCCACGTCAGAATCCCTTCCAAACAAACTGTTCAGACGAGAACTCAGTGCATGGTAACTACACTGAAGCAGAGACAGGTTCATCTGATGGATTGTTGGTGGGCTTCTCCTGGTGATAGAGGGTTTCCTTTTCTTCTCTTTCTTTTTTCTTTTTTTTTCTTTTTTTTTTTTTAAATGCTAAACTCGTCTCCCATACTTTTCACACACTCAAGTCCACACGCCATGGTCTGTGGTTATGCCCTAGGAGTCTCCTACACAAAATCAATCATCCAGTAGTCAAGCATGAGAACTTAATGCTAACAGGAAAGACCCCTTTTCCTTCCTGCATGCATCTCAACCTATATGTGCAGGCATCAAAAACAGACCAATCTGCAAGAAACACCAATATACCAAGGACGGGGCTCTCAGGGCTTCTAGAAATTCAGCCCAACTTCAAGACAGCAAAGGGGAGGTGGGGGAGTTGTCACTAACACTCATCTATGTTAAGGCTGATGAACTCCTGTATACACTTTCTGTACTGCAGCTCAGTAGGGCTGTTGCTGGGATATTGACCTGGTTGTCCAAAGGGGCCCTCTGCTTCTCGCATTTCCTCATTCATTCGAGCCAGACGCAGCCTAAAGTGAAACAGAGAAAGCACAAGGGAGAGAGGTTTGGTTATTCCTTCCCTGATGGCTATTTACAGGCAGTGTTCCTGTATATTGGCACTGGAAAGTTCTGGCTGCACTTACAAGGTAACTATGTCTGCGTTGGCTGCCTGGACAGCAATACTGAGCGGGTCCTGCCCATCGCCATCCACCGCATGCTGATTTGCCCCTCGCTTGAGGAACAAGCAGACCTGACTGCAGAAGGGAAAGAAAAGACCATCAGAGCAGAAATTCCAGCTCCCCCAGCCCCCACTGGAGTGGGCAGAGGGCACTGTCCTTCCCCAGGCAGGCACAATATAAGTGAAATATTGGTCTGGAAAAATCAGGAACCGCTGCAGTGGCATGGAAAAAGGAATGGGTGTACAGGGGCCCAATTACCCCCTATCTATCATCACAGGGGCAATTATCCTTAAGACAATCAAGTTGTTGATGTGATATAAAAAGGCATGTTTCACAACTAACCAATTCACCAAAACCCAGCTCCCATGCCCACCTCGCCGCACGACTCTCAGTGTTAACGCTGAATCTCAGTCCAGGGGTGATCAAGCACATCAGAGCAACATGCAAAGAACTTACCCAGTATGCCCCAGGTATGTGGCATGATGCAAGGGTGCCCGGCCTCGGATATCTCTTTGGTTAACATCTGCCCCATTCTGCA